ACCAGGATTTAAAATGGCCAGAGATTGCAACTATCTAAGCTGGGTCCCAATTCCTCAGTTTAATAAACTATTCTGTCTAAATTGTATCCTCTAAAATCAATGAAATTGAATTCTAAATTCAATCTTTAAAAAAAAAATAGCTTTAATTTACAAAATTGGAATATGCAATCCCAAGAAGCATATTAAGGCAGGGTACACTGAGTTCACAGGCACGGCATTCAAAGAGTCCCATCTCCAACTGCTTAGAAAACATGCTCTGAACGAACTCCTTGCTGGTGAGAGATAGTGAAAATGATGGTGACAAGCATACAGCTCCAAAAACGTCTACTGACTTCAAGTGTCAACCTAATCATTCTCTGAGGTCTGCACTGTTGTAGCAAAAGCAAAAGCTTGCAGACAGTGAACACGAAGTCCCCAAAAGTTTCAAGATGGACATACTGAGGAACTCAAAACTGACTAGAATTTTGTGAAGATATAGACTAATTTTGTTGCCTTTCACATCCCCATTAGCAGAGAAAATGCTATCTTGTTTGCTTAAAATTGCTTACTTTTACAGAAGACTCGCTGTGTTGCAGATCTGTACATACAAAAATACTTATCTATCACTATAAATACATCTATTGTTGTAAGAACTATAATGTGCTAACAGACAGTATTTTGATACCATCTAGACTTCAGAGATCTCCACTGAGCTGTAACGTCCACCAGCAGAACCAGCCCTGGTACCCTGGGCAGTGCTCACATAAGCTAACAAAAGTCTCTCCTCCAAGTTCAGTGGATACAGTCCTTATCAGTAAACAGATGTATTGTGACTAAGACAGATACAATATGAAAAACACTATCTTGCAGCTCTTCTAGACTGCCTTCTTGTAAATGAGAATTTAAACACAGTGTATTAGTTATTTTGCTTTCCTAATATAAAATGTTAGCCAGACTAAGCATACATCTTTGTGATGCCACAGATACTACTGGTTCAACAAAGAGATTTCTGAAAGAAAGACTTCTCATTCTTTTAGCCTGATAAGTGAAATCTCATTTGGAAATGCTGCCCTGTGTATATTAGTACATTGTAAGATTTTAGGCTACAGGAAAAGTATTCTGTAGCTGTAGGAAGTAATCCAAGCTTAACGTAGAACTGATCTCCTGATGAGGTCAAAGGCTAACTCAAATGGTGTAAACCTACTATCTTCCACAGCCACTGCTTCTATTTTCATGTTTTTATCTTTCCTAATTAAATTGGAGGCAGCCTGCAGAGAATGATACCCTAGGTATAACCAGTTGACACACATTTTGATCATTTAGCCCTGGTTAAATGACAGTGATTTTCAGCCCTAGTGAAAGCGATTTCGTTCTGATGCATGCCATTTAAATTCATTCTACACAGCTACTTAATGTGGCTTGGCAATGCAGAGGCAAAACAGCCTTCTGTGTCTACATGAGAATCCTGTGCTGGTAAAGGACAGATTTGTGGATTAGCAGCTGAAGATAAACTACTTTCCCTTATTGATACTTGGCTACTGATTCAACAACTTGACCCTGAAGGGGATCACAACCATCTTGTACAGAAATACTGCTGTGTAACCATGACTCAAACACAACCATTTCGTCTTCCCTTCAAGTGTACACAGAGGGGTGTGTTTTATGGTAGTAACACCCCAACAGTTTGTGAACTTCAAAGCTGAATCTTATCAACTTATCAACTTAGGAATAAAAAGGTCAGATGCTATTAATGTGTTTTGGCATATAAAAGAAGACATCTTTCCATTAAGAGAAAATAGTACGGTGTAAGTCTTCTCCCATTTCACTGACTTTTGCTTTTTAAACCGAAGAGCCAGTAGACTTCTGTTCTAATTTTTTGTTTTGCTTTTCACTTTATCATGTACACATACCTGAATAATGTTATTAATGAAAAAAATGTGACACAAACAAAAGCAGCAATAAAACACTGGTGATTAAAACTTGTTGATAACTATGAAGGCAGCAGTAGGTTGGATATTAGACATTTCCTAGGGAAGCAGTAACTGAAGTAACATGGTGATGGTCAAGTCCATGAAAACCAAATCTCAGTTGAAGCTAGACTAGGTCATAAGCAAGCAATAGGCCACTTCAGTTATATTTTCCTAGTCATTTAACTCATAATACTGCTACAGATACAACAGTGGGAAGGACACTGCTGAACAAAAAAGTAGCTATGTTTCAGGGAATTTTTTGGACTGAATACTTGGTGCTTCTTAAAATCCTTCTAGTGACTAACAAATATTTCAAACACAAGTATGCTCAATTACAGCATAATAAAACTTCTCTGAAAATCCCATTAAGAAATCCCGTAATCACTTTGGCAGTAAATCACCAGTCAGAAAGGCATCACACTTTGGGGGAGTGGATCACTGAGGCCCCAGTGACAACAGCAGGAAGAATTCAGAAGAATGACATCGTGCAGTACAGCTGCGAGGAGAAAACATCAACAACATGGGGAGAGAGATGTTGGATGGAGGGGAGGATGAGGAGAGAAGGACACCCCGTTCTTTCTCAGTGACAAGCGCCTTCATTTCCTTCTCAGGCAAGAAATAAAGACAAATGCTGAAAACTACATACAACATGTGAATAAGTGAATTTAGTAAAAAGAAAACGAAAAATGAAAATCCCTTCTATAACGCAAGTATCTGTGAATCACACGATTTTTATATTTCTTCGGCTGACAGACTGCATGCTCATAAATATTAAAAACATTGCCAGGGTCACGAAGCAAGTCCAGTTTACGTGACCTGTAAACATGAGCCTGTACTGGTCAGGCTGGTGCCTCAAGGGAATCTGAGCATAGCCAACGTTGGCATGCTGTGAAAAAAACATGGGGCATCTGCCAGCCCCAGACTGGCTGGGGTAAGCCAGGAACTTAATGTATGGTGGCCTAAAGCAGAACAAAAAACATCCTCTTCAGATTTGCTCTGTATCAGAAATACAAATTGCTGTCAAGTACATTCCTTCCATAAACAATGGAAGGAGGACTTGCAGGAACAGCTGAAAGCCTTTATTGCTTTCTCCCCTGCATTTGACTAGAGATCAAGGGGAAAACAGTGTACTTGTGGCATTAGAGGGGCTTCACGAAATTTTCAGTTTACTAATAACCCTTTTGCCAGTATTTGCAATAGATATTTGATGACTGCAGTCCATTAACAAGTGCTAGATCACTGGAACGGGCATTATGTGATGACATGGCTCTGAAATGGTGCACTTTTGCCCACACAAAGCTAGAATCCAAAAGTATCTTTACAAAACTGACTTGAAATGAAGATGTGAGATAGGTGTGGTGATCTCTTAATTTAGTTTTTGATCGAACAACACACACTATGCTCAGTGTAAGCTGAATCACAACTGAACACCTTACACTAAGAACAAACCAAGTTTTGTAAAGATGTGTCCTTTTCCTCATTATGTGATTACACATCTAAACCTGCAGCTAAAGCAATGGCCCATTTATTCCTTCCAGCCTGACCTATCAGTTTGCAGCCTAACAGGCAGTCCAGAAACAGAGTTCTGTAAACTCGACTAGACAGATTCACTGAAAGCCAACAAACTAGAGATAACTTTTGCTTCACAGGTATCTACAGGCACAGTGTCGGTTTTAAGGGAGTGTGATGCTCACTGAAGAAGAATACGAGGTATGCTAAATTTACTGTTAGCGCTTCAGAAGTTTCCTATTTCTTATCAGTGGAAGCCACCTGCCTTCCAAACTTATAAACAAGAAAGCAACAGAGAGAGGGATGCATTCACTTCCTATTTTTATTTCTATACTGTGTCCTGGAATCTCATGAACTCTTGTGTCCAGGAACAATGGCCTTGATTGATAAATCACATAGAATGCTTTGAGTTGGAAGGGACCTTTAAGATCATCTAGTTCGAACCCCCTGCTATTTGGCAACCAGACCAGGTTGCTCAAAGCCCCATCTAGCCTGACCTTGAATGCTTCCAGGCAGGGGGCACCCACAACTTCTCTGGGCAACCTGTTCCAGTGTCTTACCACCCTCACAGTAAATAATTTCTTCCAAATATCTAGTCTAAATCTGCCTCTATTATTTTAAAACCATTTCCCTTCATCCTGCTGCTACTTCCAAAATTATAAAGAACCTTATAAAAAGTCCCTCCCCAGCTTTCCTGTAGACTCCCTATACCTGTATCCGTATAAGTGTATGTGTACGCATAAATAAATGCAAGATGCTCAGTATACACACATGGACTTGTTTACCAGAACAATGGAACCAGCTCTGTGTAATCTCAAATGTAATCGAACTTCTCTCAACAGGAAAAAAAGAAAAAGAAAAAAAAAAAAGATAATAAATACACCAGGAATTATTTAATTCCAGTGAAATGCGGAAATTACTTCATCTGAAAAATTTCCCAGGAAATATGATTTCACAAGTATTCAGTATTCAGTCATCTTAAGAATAGCCATGAACAGAAAAATGCCGTTGCCAAAATCCACGCACAAGTGGCAACACGGAGCTTATGCTGTGAGAAGGGGAGACAAGAAGCCAGACAGTGGCTCCCCTCTCCGTAAGTCTAAAAGTACAGGTTCTCTTTTATGGATGCATAAGTGGCAGTGACCAACTCCAGATAACTACAGAGGACATGCTGACCTCTTCCTGCCATAGATCAAACACAAATACACAGCTCATCGGTTTCAGGTTGTATACAACTTGTTTTCAGCTCCTAATGTCACCACAACCTTGTGGGTTTTCTTTAAGTCTACTGTGCCAAGAATCAACATGAAAGTAGTTGTCATCTTCATTGTTACAGCTGTTTTTTGAAAATTCAACTGCACAATAGTATGCTTTCCCCTTGCATTTAAAGAAAAGTATTCCTCCCATACACCTACTTCTCCCAGAGATGGGCACAGACAAAACATCTTTAAATGCATATGCATGCACCTCTACAGCAGTTACTTCAGAAATGGTGAGAAAAATGTTGCCATTCATTTCAGCTCCTTTCACCTGGTTGCATACCTGCTCTGAGCGGAGTTTGCAGCAGCCTGCATCACTGCAGCAGCCGCCTCTTGTGCCTTACGGTTCACAGTTGGCATGGGTGGGCCCATCCCGGGGCCTCCCTGCTGAGACATGCCAGGAGAGTTGGGGGTCATACTGCTCATGTTTCCAGGAAATTGTCTGCTCTGCATCCCAGTTGATGGCATCCGTCCAAGGGGCATGGTACCACAGGGCTGGCTTGGCCCCTGTCCATGCATCTGGCTGTTGGCATTTATACCCATGCCGGGTCCAGGGCCACTGTAGCTTGTGTTGGGCACACCACTGTATGTTGGTGGTCTGGAGTAGTTTCCTGAACAAAATGATAAAAAGTACAGAGAACAGCATTAAATTTTTGAGCAACTATTTCTGTTTAGGGAGTTAGTAGCTGTAAAAGTTACACGCATGAATTGAAGTGAACCATACAGTACAGCTTTTTCACTGTGAGGACAGGCACACAATGGAAGAGGCAACTCAAAGAGGTTGTTCAGACTTCCTCCTTGATGGTTTTCAAGAGCAGGATAAAGCCTGAGTAACCTGCTCTGGTCTTATGCCTGACCCTAATTTCAATAAAAGGTTGGCCTAGAAAATCTGAGCACCCTTTCAATCTGAATTATCCCATGACCTGACTTTCACGTACCCTGAAGCATTTTCTGCCTAATAAATGTCATGGGATAACAGCAAATACAGAAAACCACAGCCTCCAGAGGTTTAACAACACAGCACACAGTAAAAAATGCTTTGTGCAACAGAGATGTGTGGCTTGTAAGAACCCATTACAAAAGCTCAAGAGAGAACCTTATTTTTGTAATTTCATGTTCTCATTCTTCATCTTCCTGCCATTTCTGCAATGGGTTATACTCACTGGATCCTTGCACCTAGTCATTCTCTCCATTTCTGCCAGAGATGCTTCAGATTGACCACTTGCCAGGCCCCTAGGAATAGTCCCTCTCCCTCCCTTCTCCGTTAAGTGCAAAGCCTGGCTCTGCCAGCAGGAGGTGGGTTAGCTCACTGCGCATCTCTTGTGGGAAAGCTGGTGTTAAAAAAGTAATCATCAATACCCCAAAGCTGATAACATAAACAGGTGCTTCACTATAGAGGATGGCTTGAAAACCTGCCTGAGCCCAATCTCTGTTGTGACAGGAACAAACTGCACCACTCACAGCAGCAGCTTAAATAATGTGAGTACTGACTTTCTTATCATATTGAAAGCTAAGAAAAAGCAAGTGTTTGGTATTCTGTTTTAGAAACAAACTCAAACAGCATGAGAAAGGAAAAAAAAAAGCAAAGATATGACAGAAAAGTATTTTAAGAAATGGATTGTATTACACTGCTTCAGTCATCCGTTCTGGCTTGTCTTTATTTCCATCTCATCCAGCTTAGTGGAAACACGACCCATTCCCCCCCCTGCGGGATGCCGCTGAGCAGTTTCCTGAGTGCTCCCAGCTATTCCCACGCTCATGTGAAGGCAGCAGGCAACAGACTTCCTGAGCGTGGAAATCAGCCTCCTCTCTCCTCAGGCCTGAGCTACCAGGCAGAGGAGTTGCTGGCATGCAACTCCTGTTTACACTTAAAGTAAATATATGCATTTGGCATTTGAACACACGCATAATTAATTCATACGCTCCTGCTGCTGTGCTTTGGCGAATTCTCCCCTCCTCCCCACCCAGCAACTGACTCACTCTGGTACAAGTTCTCTTCAGCAAAAACATGTGTGACCTATGCTTTCCAAGGAAATGGAACAATGCTTCATTTCTGTTTTAGAAACCCAAATTGTGCGTGCGGCTTTTTCACAGAAGGATCCCCGATATGTGGTTTAGCAGAGATGAAAGGCTTCAGACTCAGCTGTTTGCTGCCGTCAGACCGCCCTGTCATTTCTCCTCCTCCTCCAGGCTCAGAGGCTGCTGCTTACTGACCATTTTCCATTCAGCGAGCCACTGCTCGCAGCCGGTTTTGTCTGTTGAGGCCTACTCTAGCCACACCTCCAACCCAACAGCTGTGCCCACAAACTGAAGGGCTCATTGGTTTCATATTGTTCTGCTCAGTGTTCGACCTGCATTCAACCAGTGTTCAACACAGAACTCAGATGTTGCTCATTTCCCTGTTCTATCTGCAAGAAAAGGGCAATACAGTAAGATGGAGTGTATGTGGGCTCAAGGACTGTTAGCCCGTTTATGTACACGCTAGTAGAAACACTGCTTCCAAAGTGAAGCAAATTCACTCCCTGCACTAGCAGAGCTGATATCCATAATCACTGGGAGCTACTGTCAGTCCGATTTACATTAAGCCAATTTGTTTTGTCAGTTTGCCTCTACAAAGTACAGTTCAGCAGCACACTTGGAGGAGCAAACACCAATGCTAAATACTATTGCTGTTTTGATGCTATTTTGAATTGGGACAAAAAAATCTCTTCTTTCATGTTTGGCTTCTCCAGTGTAAGCACAACACAGAAAAAAAAGCAGTGGAATCTTCTCCACAGAAATATGTGGCTGAGTTAAAATAGCTCCTAATCATTCATCTCCAGGGATACATGTCTAAGAGCACAGGGAAGTGCTATTTTCTCAGTATGGAAAACAAGCTCCAATGTTTTTCCATGTGTCCACATATCCACGTACTTTTTTCCTAAGTGTTTCCTCAATATACCTCAAGTACTAGCTATTCATATACCTTTCCTAGATCACAAAAAAAGGCAAAATAAAAGCCAAGTGAAATACAAGAGGAATTGCCAGGAATGAGGAGTGCAATCTTATTTCCGTGTTTCTCTAATAGATTAGTAATTTGTTGGCACTGGCTTTGACAGAAAACAGATGGATGCAGCATTAAACACAATGAATGCAGCAGATGCTAGGCCAGCCCACATCAGCTGGACGTGTCAGCCAGCCAAGTCCAAGAGCCCACACTTTTCAAGTGGGTACAGGCCTGGCAGCAGCGGCTGCACAATACGGTCTAACAGCTCCTCCCCTCTGTATCCAAGGGATTTTTGATTCCAGCTCCCCCCAGCCGGAGCAGAATTGTGCCCACAGACACAGCGTCTCAAATTCACTAGAAAAAAAACAATGTGGTAACTGGAATCAGGAAAAAAAAAAGAACTGTAGCAAGGATATAATATAAAAAAGCCTACTAACAACCTGCCAAAGACAGATGTTCATGCTTACTGCTGAACTTCAATCCACTTTGTCCAGGTTTTCTGAACAAGTGCTCTGATGCCTTGCCATTTCTAGGCAAGCCAAAAAGAAGGAAATGTGAGAGCTGCCTGCTAGTTTTACTCTCTGCTTTAGGGACAAGGGTCAGATTTGTGGTATTAAAAATAGTATCTTAAAGACATTTTAAAATTGTTTACATGTTCACTTAACCATTAAGTCATTCCCCCTCCACTCCTTAGGGATACAGGCAATTTAAATACGTTGTACTGAATTCCTCTGAAACTCACTCAATAAGCGTGGTTAATATTTAAGTCTTCACGTTTTCACCCCACATACCATAGCACAGGTGGGACTGGACTCTGAGGCCCAGACTCTCGGGACACTTAGGGGAGCTCATCAGTAAGGTGCTACCATTTAAAACCTAGGCTCCTGAAATCAGGGGAGCAAGATACCAAAGTGCTTCTGTGAAACAACTTTAATTCCAACATTAAGGGTTATAAAGCACGGATACTCATCTCTACTGCAAACATGAGGGGGTTTAATTTTCTGTGAAGTTTTGGGGTTGAGGCTCAAATGTATTCTGTAACAGTTCATCTCTCTGTTACACTCAAACAGAAGTGTTACTGCTGAATTCAGTAGGAAAAGTTAGGGAGTTAGGATGTGTTTCTGACACCCTTTATTGATTTGCAGTGAGTTTTTTTCTGCATCAGTCTTAAAAGATCCAACTGACTGCAGTGTTTGACTGCTCTCCTGAGAGAGCGCTTAAGGGCCATTCTGCAGTTCGATGCTTGGGGTCACAGACCAGAGTTTCTTTGTTAGCTCACCAGCTAGATGTTTCCCAAATACCAAAAAGAAAGACTGCTTCAAAAACAACTTCCAAGCTCACTCTGTGTCTCTTTATTCTTATGGACAGGAAAATGCCAGGGGTTAACAAAAAACTAAAATTAACGTTCTGTACTGTATGCTCCTGGTTTATATCAGAGACATACAGAAATAAGCAGCCAACATCATTTTTTATTTTTCTGGAAAATGCTTTCACAGCATTGCCCCAGGTCCCCAGTATGGAATTGTTTCCTGGACAAATACATTTTACTCTTACAGATCTGTAAGTGTCACGTAAACACGTGAAATACAGATCAACTATATGCATTTGATGGATCATTCTGTTCCTGAAAACTGCAGGCTAATTCTTCCAGCCCAAACTTACTGGTGTAATCTTTACCACAGTGAGCAGTTCTATTGCATAGAACGACACCACCAGCATTGAGCAAAGGCTTACAGGCTTACACTGAGCATGCAGTGAAACAGAATATTTAGGTTATGTTTAAACTCATCATGCAAGCTTAACGTCACAGAATAATTCAACAAATATAAAAATGCAAGTGGTCCTGTCCACTGTAGCCTCTGCTTAGCAATATTCTAGAGGAAGGCTTATATGAACAAAATGAGGAACGCAAACGAATCCTTGACAATTACTGTAGTTTAATAATGTAAGAACTAGTTTGCATCCCAGGTGATTTTTAATATATTTGTTATTTCGGCAATAAAAAGCAAATGGAGTAACATTATTATATATTCATCATTGCTGGCATGTAATTGTGCTTCGTAAGACGGTATGTTAAGAGATGCAATTACAGATTACTTTCATAAAAAATGAAAAACGCTATTAAAATCTTAAATCCAAGTAAATACATGACTTTGAAATATCACCATATTCATCCCAGTATATTATTAATGGTCACATTAGCCCAGTGAAAAAGCAGTATCCTTCTGCTCTATTTGTTACCTGTGGTGCTTAAATACTGCAGGGCGCTAATTTTATCATGACCAGTGCATGGGATCAACACTACTGTCTGAGAGCTGGCAGAAGAACATGCTTTTCATCCATCACACTATTCAGCAGACCCCTCTGAAATGGCCTCTTAATGACAATGATGCTCATTTTCTTCCTGCCCCTCAAGTTCACTTTTTAATAGCAGTTTCTTCCTGACCGCGACCCATAAAATCATTACATAGGCACTTTCATCTACAGTGAGAGGGAAAGAACTGCTGAACTAAAACAAAAAATAAAGTAGTATTCGGCGTGTTACTTAAATGCATTGATTTAGTACAAAAACTTCTCCACTCAATCAGCGTGGATGGCTAATGTTTTACTGCACTTGACACCCACTATTCCCATGGTTTGGAATCTCAGCAGTACAGCTGGAAGTGGGAATAGCACATCATAAATCCACTGGATTTTTACCAGTTAAGCTAGTTGCTCTCTGTGCAGATAAAAATAAGTACTTGGACAGCATTTTATGGCCACAAAACGCTTTTCAAATAAAAGGAAAGTGCCAGTCAACTGGAGTTAGGTAATTAATCTTCACACATGGCTATAAGGCATTACTAGCTCCATCTTACAGTTAAAGAAAGCAAAGCAGAGAAACGAATCTACTTGCCCAAGCTGAAAGATGGAGTAAAAGGCAGAGCCAAAATTACTAAGCAGGAGATCTTGGCTTCTAGCCCTGTGCTCAGACAACTAAAACAAATGTGACCCAGAGATGAAAAAGAAAGGAACACTGCATAGGGCAGCAAGACTCCCTTCAAACAAACAACAGAACTAGTTCTCAGAAACCCTGGAGACTAAAATAACCATCCTTGCTAGCGTGTGCAAGCCAATGAGCCCTTACAGAATTTCCCACAGCTGGCTCCAATCCTTTTTGAGGATTTTAAGTAAAAAAGCATTAGTAGGAAGTGCTGAAATAGAAGAGCTTATTGATGTATGTTTAAAGAAACACTGTCCCTCATATACTCTGACTCTAAGTTCATTAAACCCCTAAACACATGCATGCTTTATAAAGGTTATCCATTGAAGACAAAACAATAGACAAGTTCAAGGTTGTAAGCATTGAATGTCCAGGGGCAGGGACTGTTACTTCTATTTTTGTCTTAGTTCTCCAACAATTCTGTCAAACAGCATAATGAAAGGAACTGTCTTTCTCAGTCTGAAAGGTTGGTTAAAATTCACAAACCGTATGCATGAGTGCTCAATATTATATTCCCATAGTAGCCACTGTATTATGCTCGTTAGGAGACTTTAACCCTCGCAGTCGCTATGCAATCTCACACTGGCTTTGGGATTCCATCTAAGAATGTAAGTCCTATTTTGAGATCGGTGCTGTGACCCTTCTTCCATGCTTGGCCAAACTCATCCTCATTGCAGATATGACACCCTCGGCCTCCTGAACAAATGGCAATCCAACAGATTTGTAATTTCCTTGTCCAATTTGTGATCACTATTTTTACACAAAAGTGCCAATAATAAAAGCAACCTCTTCCACAAGGTGTAGCTCCACCTCTGAATTAGTTTCACCTGTGACTTCTTTTTTTAGAGGAGGACATGGGAGTGTTCGTGTGTGGTTTTTTTATGTCTTTTTTATTTCAAGAAGTCACACACCTGTATATTTGCCTATTTACATATGTAATACATATATTTCTTAAAATTTACATATATGTATATATATATGTGTGTGGGTGTGTATATACATAGATGTATGTATTAACAAGAATTTTACCTTGTGGTCCATACTGGCTCATCTGAGGCCCATAAGTACCACTTGAATTACTCTGCTGAAAGCTACCAATTCCAGGATGCACTTGGCCACCAGGTGAGGGGTGTGGTGACATGGAAGGTCCAGTTTGTTGAGGTCCATACTGTGACATTTGGGGGTTCCTCTGTATGCCTGCCATAAAACCTAAAGGGAAAAAGCACCAAAGTAAGATTTATATTCAGATGACTGTTCTTTATTTAAGAAATCTCTGACATTCCAAAAAAACACCAAAAAAACACGCCAACCTCAAACCTGCCTTAGCTTTTTGCAGACTAATGATACCCAGAAAACTGGATTCCCATAAAAGAAGTAAAGGCACCCTAAAGTCAGCAAAGCTGCCTCAAAATCCACAACCTGTACAGAATGTTCACAATGTTCGCTTTTATTTGTAAAAGAAAGAGGGAGAGTCATGCTTAGTTACAAATGGCTGCTGATTTTAAAACTAAAATGATCTTTAGAAAAAAACATTAATGGCAATCATCTGGACTAACTAAAAAATAGTAATGAATTTGCCTGATGATTGATGGTAGGAGTACTGTAAATTCCAAAATTATAGGTTGCTACCAAAGTATACACATTTGACATATAAAAATCCACTGTAAACAGTCCTATAGTCTGCACACTCTCGGGAGCTAAAATTTCCCTTTATGTTCAGACCAGCCAAACAAGCCGGAAAAAAAGGTCACTTTGGTCTGTATCTGTGCTCTAGGTCCTTCTACCACTCTGTTACCACTATGTCTGTACTGACTTCTCTCTTTTTCCCCTTTCATAAATGTATTAATTAATCTCAATTTAACTTATGTTTCAAAAACTGCAGCAAGAAACCTAGTAAAATGCTACAAAACCTCGAAGCTTCATATAAAGAAATAGAACTATGCCTATTAAATGGGAGGTAAAATAAAGGTTTTGTGGTTTTTTTTTTTTTTTGTTCGTTTGTTTTTTAAGATTTCATAAAATGAGAAAAATGCAACAAAATCCTGCCCACTAACCATGTATGGGAGGATGCTGGTTTTGTAATATTTTGCTCTGAAATGTTTTAGTACAGCTTTCAATGTTGCAGAAGATGCACTAAAAAGACAGCAAATTATTTCCTGATTTGAGGAAAACTGCTTTCTTTTCTGTTCTCTACATGTTAAATTCCATCTACTTCTGTAGAGCAAAACATGGTTGTACTGAGGGACAACACTGAGACTGCAGGTGGCTCCACAACAGCCTCCTGAGAGGGGGTGCAGTGGCCAGCAGCTCACCCCTGCCTGGGGGTGCGTGAGATACGACGTGCTGCTGCCAGGCAGGAAAACATGCAGGAGCAAATCTGCCTTTTGGCAGCCTCTTGGCTGGCCCAGGCACGCTGCTTTGCGACTGTGGAGGGCTGAAATGTATTTTCCCTGATTTCTCCACATCGCCTCTTCCCTGTTTGCAAACCGGCGACAAAGTGCTTTGCGGAAGGGGACAGACAGTATCTCCAGGTTGTACAAATGAAAAGCGGTGAGTGCATGACTAGGAATTAGGTTTTGAGTCCAAAGACATATAAAAAGCTTTTGAGCCCTCCATAAATCTTTATTCCGTAACAGAGACAATAAGCTCAATGCTGCAGGTTGTAAAGAAAAACACAAGCACTAAGATGGTCTCACACTCCCTTGTGCCCAGTTCTTTCGAACTATAAACAGTTCAACTCATAACATGCTAAAACTCAAACAACTTTAAGTTTTAGCAGAATACGTAGAGGTTTCCTGACCCCTGTGGGGCCCTAAGACAGCTGACTTGATCACACTTGAACTGTGAAGTCAAAGCTCAACACCTGCTCTGGAGGAAGCCCAACCATGTGCACTGGGATGCAGCGAGCCAAATAAATGAATGAAGAATGGTGGCTTGGGAGCTAACAAATATCAGCTGGGAAGCCCCAGCCTTCTGCAAGAAAAGCTCATAAGAAATTCTCCACTTAGCTTGATTTTGAGACAGACCCCTCTATTTTTAAACTAGTTCCACTCTCACACAAATCTTATTACAAAGTCTATGTCTGCTTCTGACAGTACTGTAACTAATTTAAAAACCTAATACAATCGTACATCTTTGTGAAATAAATGCCTGCATTCCAGACACACACACATACACCCATATATATCACACTCATGGGATCCATTTAAATGAAACATTTTGTACCGGTCACACTAAATTTTTTATCGTAAAGATGGCAAATTTAGTCCTGTATCTAGTAAGAAGTGAGGGTTTTCTGCTCACCATGGGCCTTCTAATCTAAATGAGATAACTCTACAAACGTTGTTCTGGACACAAAGGGTTTTCAGACAAGTAGTTATCAGAGGCAGTACTTTCCTTAACACCACAAGAGTAGATGACACGTTAACAAGCTGCTGCTTGCATGAGTTGTAATGATTTCCAGTAGTGATGCTGAGGAATTGCTGGTTATTGAGTCTAGTAGGGAGCACGGACAACAGTTTTGGCCAGATCTCCTGTGGTCAGAGCAGCTCCTAAGGGGACTGGAGCAATAAGTGAAATAAGTATTTCCACTCAAATGAACTCTTCTTCAGGAAACTTCTAATCTGCTTCTGATGCTGTGGAATGAACTGTCTGGCCATGTGTACAGTCATGAATAAAACATGCCAGGACCACTCCCTGGCACAGAGAGTGGTGTGGGATACGTGTGTCCGTCCAGCTAACCCTTCCCACTCAGTCCTGGCAGTCTCATCCACCATCTCTTGTAGCATTCCCTCATGCTGCCTCATCCATGTCTGGGCTGTGTCTCATGGAGCGCTCATCAGCATTGGATAAAACCATGCCCTGGATCATGCCAGAAATTACACAGCAAAGATAACTGTGCGACAGTACCTGAACTCATTCTCTGACTTCAGTTTATAAAGATGCTGCAACAGACATGCAGCAGGTGAGCTCGGGAATTGGATTAACACAAGAACAGAACAGACTCCTTAAAAGCTTGTGCCACCACCCCAAAGAATGTGAGATCACTCTCAAATAATGTTGACTCTGCCATATTCGGAGCATGAACAAGGAAAGAACTAAGGAAAAATGAAGCCAAATATGCAGGAAGAGTATCTGTGCCATACTATCTTCTATTATTGTCTGTATGGTATGTTGAAACGTAGCCTTAAAATAGGATATGTTCCAACTTCTTCCCAGAAAGGAAAGGAGTCATTTCAGTTACAGATGTAACTGAAGATATGGAGAAGGTGAAATCAGGTCTTAATACAATCAAAATTCCCTTAAAACAAAGATGCGTCTGTCCTTATCTAGCTCAGTGAGAGCAGCTTGCATCTCCAGAGATCAGTGCGTAAGTCTGAAGTGCTTCAAGCATTTGCAGAACGCTCAGACCTCTTAGAGAGGAAGAGGATTCGTGGTCAAGACATTAACATGCTTTCATCAGAAAGAGAAAACAACATCAATTCTATAAATTTGATCAGAAACGAAAGGGAGCAGCTGGCATACATTCATTTTTCTTTATTTACACACATTTTCCCCAGTGTTCAACTTCATTTTATAACCGATACAAACAGAAATAAATTTTCTTTCCAGAAAATTAGATGTAAGATAAAGCTTGCTTTTGTAAAAAAGGGAACTAGGATTGCATTAGAAATGCACTGGAGTAAAGGCAGTGGAATGATTAAACAGCCAGTCTACATCTGACATGTCAGCCCCTATGACAACGGGGTGGTTTTTTATTGTTGCTTTTTTCGAAATAAATTGCTAGGAAACAGCCATGAGTTAAGACTTTAAAAATTGCAATGACAACATGCTCATCACAGAACAAACCTACACCCTTCCTCTAATATTAGAGATAAAAGAGGTACAGATGATGCTTTACTTGCCATCACAACAAGAGATTACTTACTGAGAAAAAACTTGAGCAGAATTCAGCAAACTAAGCTATTTCAGGAATAGATGAATATACTGAGCCTTCCAAAATTACTCTTGTGTTTGAGCTATTTTTATACTATATTTACACAGCTAAAGAATAATCTCTTTTATTGAAACCCAATTGAAACTGTAGTCATCTTTGTTTTTTTTTTTTAGTGACAGTATGACAGTAGCGTATTATTAACAATTAGCTCACTGCTACGACGACTATGTGCTCCCACATTCAAACAGAACATACATGCAAATTTTCAAAAAAGTCAGGCAGCACCACATTTTTCTTTCTTTTTTTAGCAAAGCACAGGGATATAATACAAAATAAGCAACAATTATTCTATCTATGATGGAAGTGTTTCTTCTCCTTCGATAAAAATACAAACATGAACTTCCCATTGTAATTTATATTACTAACATCTTGTAGCATACATACAGCTCATATAATGTATGATGCCTTTGTAAAACACCTAAAACCTTGTTTTTTTTCCTTATGCCTATACGTACTTAAAAGAGAATTATGCACCAAGGCTTTCAATTCCATCTGCACAATGACCAATACAAAATAATTTGCTGAATACTATCTCTTTGGCTTTAACCACAATAAAACCCTATACAACTGGCTGTTGCTGTAAAGTCTGAAATGGATTCTCCTGATATTTTCATCTTGGTTTGAATATGAAAAAGCCCTTCCAGGAAAGCAGGAGTTCAAATACAAAAGGAGTGACTGCAAAGTAAGGAGTTATTGCGTATCAGCTGATAGATAGTAACTATCTACTGGCATACTTAACCCACAGTCAATGAGAGACCTTTTGATTTAGCCAGGAGTACTTCATTGATTTTTATGAATGAATCAAACCTGAAAACACACAGAACGCTTACCCATTTTAAGCTCAAGAAAACTTTGACGTTTACAGCAATAGGAGATCATAATTAAATTACACATTTGATAAACAAAAAATAAGGACAGATAAAACTTGCCATGGTACTTTGCAAAAAAAGAGCTTATGTGAGGAAAAATTATGTCAGGATAATGCCATTTTTAGAAAGGAATGGCTGGTGGAAGAGTATTGGACCAAAAAAACTCAGCAGTTCTTCAGGATAGGAAACAGGAAAGCTCCTCTTGTTCAAGGGCAGACACTAAAGAAGGAGCTAGACCTGGTTATCGCTCTGGAAATCATGGAGTGAGAAAAGAAGAAACATATTGTATATATTTTCCATTCATCAAAATTCCTACAAGACAGCTCAAAAGAACTAATAAAAAT